ACTGTGAAAAATTACAATTATACACCATATATAAACTTAGTAACAAGCTTTAAAAGTTTTTATTGTGATATGCTCGTGAAATTCCTTAGTTTCTGAAACAGAAGACGAATTTTTCCCTGGAAAAATCAAACTGTTATATTAATTCGTTTTAAGAGAAATATAAATTATTTTTAAAGAGTAAAACAAATCATGATTTAGTTATGTAAGCAAGAACTATACATGTTATTTTTATATGTATCTTTCGCAACAAGGTATGCTTGTGGATAAAAGCCAGCTATTAGAGAGAAAAAATACCATCCCAGAAACAGTCGCATTATCTTTTACTGTCCACAATACTGGTGAAGCTTTTAGTAGTTCTACTTCAGCGGAATTAATGTACACGGAAAACCTTTGATCATATCGTTTCTATTCGTCACATTAAACCGACGTATCTCTTACATTTGTATCATTATTTTTTTTGGTATTCGTATTTGGACGATGTAAACTTAACAGTACCTGATTGCATTCAATGAAAATTTCAAAAGCCTAAACCTTAAGACATGAACGTTTACCTCTTACCACTAATTTTACGTCAAAGTGTTCTCTCTGCCTTTTTTTCTTCTTCTTTGTTTTATCATATGTGAAGTGACTTATCGCAATTACAAATACAAGTCTTGGGAAGTTTTTCTTTTTAGCAGAACTCCTAAAACCAGTCAACTGAAAAGTTTTAAAGGTGAATTCCCTGGAAAAATTTTGGTTTCCGAGTGAGTTTTATTTTCTCATACTAAACTCATTAATTTTTTTATAAAAAAAATACCATTATTAAACAAATAGTATTGACTTTACGTGGTGGAGCAGCAGTGAAAGCCTAATGCCAGTCCTATGAAACAGATACCATACAACTTTTAGGCAAGCTAAAACCCCATTAATCGAATTTTAGCCGCCAGCTCAGAGGTATCACTCAAACCATGAAAAATGAGAGGTGAAACAACATTTCTCGCTAGGATAATTGAACGTTAAACAGATATCAAGCTTACTATCAGCGAAGTATTGAGGGATTTCCTTTTTTCCTTCACCCATACGAGTCCAAGGAATAAGTATTTCATAAAATATATTAATTTTTGCTATATAAATGGGATTTAACACACTTTTCCTGTATTATTGACAACACATAAAGGTTCGTTGAAATGTGTCAACGAATTAAAACTGAATTTAACCGTTTTTTTTTATCGAAAGAAGGAATCATTAAGCGGATTGATTTTAAGACTATACTGATAATAATTTCACAGCCGAATTTTAAGAAAGTTTTGTTAATAAGGATCCATTTTCAATGGGAATTTCCTTTAAAAATAACCAAAAGCATAAATTGTTTAGAATATTCGTGTGAAGCTCAAAAAAGTTATATCTGGTCTAGCCGTTCTTAATTTTGAAAGCTAAAAAAAGAATATCTAATCTAGCCGTTCTTAATTTTGAAAGCTAAAAAGAATATCTAATCTAGCCGTTCTTAATTTTGAAAGCTAAAAAAAGGAATATCTGATCTAGCCGTTCTTAATTTTGAAAGCTAAAAAAAAGGAATATCTGGTCTAGCCGTTTTTAATTTTGAAAGCTAAAAAAAAAGGAATATCTGGTCTAGCCGTTTTTAATTTTGAAAGCTAAAAAAGGGAATATATGGTCTAATTTTGAACTGATAAACTTGAGTGAAGACAACTAATCAGCATCACCCACCGCCAACTCTTGGGCTACTGTAATCGAAAAGTGGAATTTGACCATCACTTCTATAACACAACAATGTCTCCAAAGTGCAGAGCACAATTTGACGGCAAGGATGCGATCCTTGGATCCTCGATTTAACAGACCGGCACGATAACACCGAGAACATAGGAAAATGGAAAACATTTTTGCGAAGATTGTTTGAAAGAGATGTAAAGATGTTCTTGTGCCTCTAACAACTTAAAAGTATTTTCCATTAAATATTCAATAACTAAAATAACACGATTGTCATCCAGGTACTGAAATTCTACTGGCAGAATGTCTTCATCTACAGTGACTTATCAAGTAGAGTAGCGTGCAAATATACGGGAAAATTCGATAGATGTAACTCCCATTACTTGACGATTTAGTTTTTAGTCAGCGGTAAAGCGTTTTGAAAATGTTTATATTGTACTCATTTTCTGGACGTTTCTTACCAAAATAGAAATACTCGTAAAGAAATAATGAAATAAATGCAAATTGGATAGTCGTAATTTTACGTGAACTTGTCTTTTAATAAGTAAAACACTATTCATTACATGTAATGATCCTGTATATACATACATATATCATCGTTGAACTGTGTATCTCCACCTGGTTAATCGATCATTGAAATTCGGAACTAAAATACAGATTTTGTAACGTTTTACACGTACAGGAACTAATCTTATAAATCTGGTTTAAAGACAATTTATGTTAAAATAACGAACGTTTTATTCAGTGTGATTATGAAGAAAGTTTCGCAGTTCAGCGCGTCATATTTCACAAACGGCATGGAATTAAAAAGGTGAAAATTCACACGGTTGTTAAGCTTATAAAGCTGAAGAAAATGCCAAAATTGTCACGTGTTTCCATCAGGGGCGCTACTGTGATGTCTTTCGCATATTTTCCATGGGTATAAGTGATACTGTCAATCGAAGTGCAGCTCATTCAACCAACAAGAAAGTAAATTAGTGAAATGACATTATACCAAACAATGTAATGCCTGGTCAGCTCTCAGAAAATATCGTATAGTGTATGACATTTGTAGAGGTCCTTGTTCCAATGTTTCTTTGCGCAAGCTCATAGAAACATACAGCAGACAGGTTGTACTGTGAAAAGCCATGCATAGGTATACAACCCACACCTATCGGTGACGTCATCCATGCCATAACCAAACAAATAATCTCAAGTGCAGATGGGCGTACAGAGCAGTGCAAGTTATGTCGGCCAGTGTCTGGATTTGCCAATTTCAACTCTTCGGTCAACTTTGCGAATGTTTCCTTACAAGCTTTATCATGTTCAAGCACCGAAAAAGACGGATTTAACCCAATGTGTTGATTTTGCGTTGCATTTCTTTGCAAGACTAGAAGTCGATGATCAATGGCGCTCCAATATCTTATGGATTGACAAAGTACACTTCACCTTATCTAGAAGAGTCAACATGTACAACTGCATTATCTCGTCTGAAGTTAATTCACGTGTAATATTTCCTACACACCACCATAATGCTAATTTGATGTGGTTTTACAGCTGACTTTGTTATTGGACCGTACGTTTTTGAAGTCTTCAAGTCTGCACAGTTAATGCTGCATGCTATCATACAATGCTCATAACCAATATAATTTCCATGTTGCAGCAATGAAATGTGAAATACACTACGGTTTTCAAGCAGCATGGCGGCCCTCTGTATATTCGTAACCATGTGAAACATGTCTTATGAGAGCAGTTTCAGGAAAGAATCATGGGGGCTACTTGAAGTTAAGCGTGTACCGTGGGAAGCCTCGCACAATTCCAGACCTCAAGGATTGAATTGTTCGGAAAGTGGTCGGTATATCAAATGAGATGCGTGTTGTGACTGTAGGCACATGGATGCAATGTATTCTGGAAACTGAACAATTGCTGTGATTGATGAAACATTAGGCTACGGTGGCGCCTCTGGTGAAAACATGAGATAACTGTTGCATTTGCATCCGCATGATAATCTTAACAACCATACACAATTTAACCTTCCTTTGCCATATAGTTTGTAAGACACAATGCGCTAAATTGCGAACCCTTCTTTATGATAACAGAAATAAGTTGCTCAGTTATAGTTTAATTACATATGCCATAAAAATACAGATTTAACACGAAATTTAAACGTCAAGCTATTACAATGAAGACAGATTAATTTAGAGAATAAAGAATGTTTTCGTTAAACCATTTTGACGTTGAAATAGTTCTACGTAATAAAAAAGACATCTTAATTAGTTAAAAATACAGAATGTAAAAATAAGTTTCAAATCTTTATTACATTAGCCAATAAGAAATAAAAAATCTAAACTCAAAATGATAAAAAAGAGAAATAGTGTGAAGAGCTCACCCCTAAATTTGCAGATTACTCATTTATTGAGGACAAATTAAAATACAACTCTTGCTTTTCAATTTAGATTAATACTTTGGACCACAGATCAATAATGTTTGTTTCTTAGAGCAAAGCCACATTGGGCTATCCGCTGTATCCACCACTGGGAATCGAACCCCGGATTTCAGCGTTGTAAGTCTGTAGACTTACAGCTACAACACTGGGGGGACACAACAAATACGCTAAGCTCTTGTTCATTTTTTGTCTTTTAATATTTAAAGGTCTTCAAGTGGCACGGCGGTATGTCTGCGGACTTACAACGTTAGAAACCAGGTTTCGATACCCGTGGTGGGCAGGGCACAGATAGCCCTTTGTGTAGCTTTGTGTTTAAATAAAAACAAATAATATTTAAAGAACAATTTAAATCAAGATAATATTTATAAACATAATTTTAAGTCTTTAGATTATTATTTCGGTAACTTTCATTAATTATAAAAACGACATTTAGAATATCTTAAATTCATCATTTTCCTTTAAAGGTTACTTATAACCTTTCAATAACTTTTCAATACAGAATACGGGAAAATAAGAAGGTTAGTAGCGAATAAAAATATCTTATTGATTCTTTTTTAGCATCTATACTTATCTGAGATTTCTATTTAGTCAAATCGAAATTTAAAAAACAGGTATAAGACTCAGCTAAATGAACTAGAAAAATAAACATACCTCATCCACAACACACACACACACCCAAACATCTTATCACGGTTCGCACTTTCGGTACGGCATGAACTCATTAGAAGAATATCGAAAAAAAAAATCTGCCCTAATTCGCTTTTATAAGTTCTTAACAGTGTAAATATGTATACTGTTATGTATATAAAACGAAAAAGTTTAAAAAAATATATTTACAAAAGAGAAATTAGAAGAGCAGAGTAAAACGTACCTCCCTTTCGGGATTCAAGGCATCCTCATCCGAAAACCCTAAACTTCTCATACGTTTCAAATATGTGGTGGTAATTGGTAAACTGTAGTCAATGTCGGCCGCTATCTCAGGTGTGGCGCTGCACTCTTCGTGGGAAGGTGATCCAGATTCCGGGGAACTGCTACCGCTGCTATCCCCACGCTCTCTGTTACCTTGGCAACCGCCTTTTCGTCCGTTGTTGTTAGTAGTGCCCTCCGTGGTGAGGTGCATCCGTTTCTGGCAGTCGGCACAGGACATAAGGAAATGTGTAACCGCCTCCCGAGGTAGAAATGCGTACGTCTTGGCAATCTAAGGAGAAAAAAAAAAGGAAAATGATAATAGGATGATGAGCCTCAAGCGGGTGCTGAGCGAAGTCACTGAAAAGAGTCTGATCTCACGGCAAGTCCATGAACTAAAGGGTAGGAGCTAATCTTTCTACCCACGCTGACACGAGGAAGAAGAAAAAACTCAAAACGGCTTATCACCATGACAACGTTCATACCGAGCATTTATATAGATAAATTTATTTTGGCTCACAAAGTAAGTGAGTGATATGACCTACCAAGATTTATTTTTTCCCAAATATACCTTACGTATGACATTTTGGTTACGTATTATCTTGATTAATTGTGAGAAAATAGAATATTTTTTTCATAAAATTAATTGTTTTTATTTTTTCTTCAGCGCTTTCATTTATTGTCTGTTACTTACAAGCTGGGTCGTTACACTATTGCAAGTATTAAGATAAACTACGGTAATTGCCCTGCAGCTGTCTAAAGTCTCTCTCTTTCTTTTTAATCACACAAATGGGAAGATTATGCAAGTTAAATAATATTTACGGTACACAAAGGGCAAGAAAAAAAAGACTTCTAATTCTATGTTTTAGCTTCTGAAACTTTTTTTTTTTCTGTCAGACCGCTTTCCTGCTTCTGTGGTATATGGTACCAGGAAAGTAATAACACTAATATTGTTCTGTTAATTTACAGAGAAAAGGCTGAATCTGGTCACGCTGAAAATGAATTAGTTTGTTAAGTGAAGCTACAATGACTTTAAATATTTGATGATATGACTATGTCTCTATGTGTATATACAACATGCTTACTGATTATACTTTTGAATAACAGATATATAAAAAGTTTACCTCAAAACACTTAGTAATAAAGAACAGTAAATTCTAATTAAAATCTACAAAATATCATATTATCGCTTCTCCCAAGTACCCTTTGTTGACTAACAAAAGCCTTTTACGTTGTTTTCTCTACACTGAATCTTTAACTTTATTATTAGTTCCGCCTCAGCTTTATCAGTAGCAGCATAAGATATCTTTATCATAGCTTTGAAATAATTGGAAATCTTTCATGTTTCATTTTTTAGAACAGTTTTACATGTTAGGTTTTAATTGCCCTATCATATTTTCTTGTCTCCAAATTTTATCTTAATTTGGTGTGCATGACTACATAGATACTGGATGGTCGACTAATATAATGATTGATTATTTGTACTAACCGCTTTATAAGTTCGTTTTTGTCCTGCATGTTTTCCTCCGCGTCCATCCATCTCAACGTGAACACCATAGATAATGTCGAAAAAAATTCTCCACAACAGCGACTTTCTTGTAAACTGTTTCTCCCTTGCCAACACTAGACTGTAAGAAATAACGTAATCTTTAGTTCATAAAATATGTACCATTGTATGTGTTTTTGTGACGAAGAGAGATCAAATTACTTATTTTCTTTATAAAGCAAGTATGGGACTTTCAATGAATAATAAAAAAAAACAATTAAAAGCAGATTGGGCAAGAACGAAATATCTTGTTATTATTGTATTTTTGCCTCATTAGCAAAATTTCCAGTACTTTTACAGCACATTAAAATTGCTGTTTTTTTATGGCTGAAAGCTACTGAAGATTTGGATATGAGGATCGTACAAATGACAGAGTATCGAGTAAATTTCTTAATTGTACATAAAACGCCCTCTAGGTTTTACTGGTGTCCAACAATTTCTTGAATTTTCATTAATCTAAAAGAAAATATTGTGGATACACCAAGGAAAGTAAACTAAAACAGGAAACATAGATTTTAAAAGACCCTTTAAAGTAAAACAAAAAACAAAAACGCGCTTTACATTTTGGAATCGTTGGTGTGTTGCAAGAGAGACGGCCAAGACACACTGTTCAGTCTGACATGAGTAGCTCAAGAGTTTCGCGGTGGGTGTTGTTGATTAGCAGCCTACCCTCTAGTCTATCACTTCAAAACTAATGACGGCTGGTGCAGTTATCCCCCAAAGAATCATTTGTTTGGTTGTAGTTAACCACAAATCTAATGACGGCTGGTGCAGTTATCCCCCAAAGAATCATTTGTTTGGTTGTAGTTAACCACAAAACTAATGACGGCTGGTGCAGTTATCCCCCAAAGAATCATTTGTTTGGTTGTAGTTAACCACAAAACTAATGACGGCTGGTGCAGGTATCCCCC